ATACACCAAGACCAAACGCATCCATTCTTAAGGAAATCAGCCCTGAGTGCTCACTGGAAGGACAGATCGTGAAGCTGAGGCTCCAGTACTTTGGCCACCTCATGAGAAGAGAAGACTCCCTGGAGAAGACACTGATGCTGGGAAAGATGGAGGGCACAAGGAGAAGGGGGCGACAGAGGACGAGATGGTTAGATAGTGTTTTCGAGGTTACCAGCATGAGTCTGACCAAACTGCAGGAAGTAGTGGAGGACAGAGGTGCCTGGCGTGCTCTGGTCCATGGGGTCACGAAGAGTCGGACACGACTAAACGACTAAACAACAACAAAAACGGTGGCTAAGCTGTAGCATTCCAGAGGTTGTCGGACTACAACTCTCACCAGCCCCAGCCAGCCTGACCAGTAGTCGTGACAAATGGGAGTTATAGTCAGTAACACAGGGGATCACAGGTTAGCCACCCCTTTACTTTAGTTTACAGGCATGTGTTGGGGATGACAGAGGTATAGGATGTTGTTTCTCGGGACAAGGGAATAGGCCAGAACTATTTCCTTTGTGCATGCAAGCTTGCAGTGCTTATTTATTAGCCCTTTATTTATTTATTTTTTCTGCAACTTCCATCAGCACCAGCCTGTGTGGCCAGTGGTAAGGGATGACTGGAATTGTAGTCCAAAAAACATCTGGAGGGCCATAGGTTCCCCATCCCTGTTCCGGCAAGCAAATTTGTTCCATTGTCTCTCTGGCAAAACTATTGAGAACTGCAGCCTTAATTATGTCAAAGCTAGGCCATGGCTTAAGTAGTTTTCTGGCAGGGTTCCCTGCAACCATTTCTTTCTGAAAGATGCCATTACTGTAACCTCCCTGCACCCAGTGCTTTTTATTACTAAGCTGTGATGGCTAAATGGAGCCTCTTTGTTTGGAATTGGTGTCAGTTTCTTGGGAGGGCTCTTTCCATAGACATCGGATTGGCCACTGGTGGATGCTGAACGAGATAAATGGTTGATGTGATTCCCCAGGGCTCTTCTTATGTCCTTCTCATTAAACACGTTGCCTTTTTGAAGTGTAAACACTTCCTAATATTAAGTAGAGTTTATGTAGTCTTGTTACTCACATGTGACAATAAGCTAGCAATCCTGGCTTCTCAGAAGGAAAAAATCCATGTTCCCCTTTGTGGTGCATTTACTTGTTCATGCAAAGGTAGAAGCAAAGTGACAGCAATCAGTGTGCTCTAGTGTGTAGTTTGTGCACAATATGGGTGGTTGGCTTCTCATTTTCAGCAAATGTGCCCTCTATGTGAGTGGTTCTGACAACCTTTAGTATAGCAGCTCATGAGCGAACAGAGATTTGAACTAGGGACCTAATGACCCCTAATTCATTGCTTTAACATCCTAAACCATACCAGCTTCCTGTGCAATATTTTATCATGCCAATCCTTATGCCATTGTTATTTCCAGTAGATAAGTGAGTCCAAGTCTGAAATGGGATTTAAACCACCATGTTCATCTCCAGCTGTCTCTGGGGCTGCTGAAATGGGCATTCGGGGTCATAAGACCCCAACTTCTGTGGGTCAGGCATCTGACACGAGTTGGGAGTGGGCACAGAAGAGAAGCCAACACAGTGCAACAAAACATATACCTAGTTAGAAGTGACTTCCCAAACTAATTATTCCAGCCTCCTGCTTAGGCAGGAAATCTGCTATTGCATCCCTGATAGTGGGGCTGGCCCTACCATTAGGAGGAAATGAGGTGGCTCTCAAGTGGCAGATTTGGGAGTGTGAGAGGAGTGCTGAGGTTTTAGAAAACAGAAGAGTCTTTGCCACATGACCTGCCCTATACCTTCTAAGCCAGGCATGTCCAACTCTCTGGAGACTGCGGTCTACTCCCAGTATAATAAAACTGGCAGTGATCTACTCATCGTTATTGCCCAGAGTTGTTGATCTTTTGGGGGAGGAGGACAGAGTTTTTTTGGGGGGGGGGCTGGTGGTCGGGATCAACCAACAACACCTTGCGATCGAAGCAGTAGATCACGATCGACCAGCTGGACATGCCTGTTCTAAGCTATCCCACAGCCCTTAGATACAGTGCAGACGTCCAGTCACCAGCATTGAAGTAAGATTTGACTGTCAATCTTGTCAGCTTCTTCACATGGGATGGTGGGGGTACCATCTTGTTGGTTGCCTCAGGCAGTCAACTGTTTTGAGCCAGTCTTATAAGGCTGGGTAAGGCCTCTTGCCTTAACCAAGTTGCTTAATTTCCCACAACTTGATAGGAAAATTTCCCCACTAGAGGGCAGGCACAGCCTTTTTCAAATTCCTGTCATTTTCTTCTAGAGCCCAGGAATGCAGGGTTGAATTTCCTTCCTTTTATCTAACTCCTAATCACATACTTAAGTGCAAGCTTCACTTGAAATAGCCAGAGAAGTCCCACTGGTTTTAAATTTCAGAATTGTGCCCCTCCAATTCCTGATAGATTATAGCTCCTAGTCAGCCCAGCCAGTAGTCAGGGGATGATGGGATTGGTAGTTGGAACAACTTCTGGAAGGCCACAGATTCCCAATCCCTGGAATGTTCTGTTGTCACTTATTGTTAAAGGCACAGGAGCATGTCCAGAAAAGGGGATGATAACCCTAGTTGGATCAACAGCAATGAAAATTCCCGTCCAGTTGAAAATTTCCACTCCGAGTTGGGGAGGGGGATGCATATTTCTGTTTGTGTTCAGAGGAGAGAGCGCTTCTCTGCTACCCAGTCATTAAACATTTTCTGGTTCACCTGAGGCAGCAAAAGGTATTGGGCCAAACCTGACTGAGGATAACACTTTGTGCATCTGATGACATGGACAGACATGAACTCACAGAAGCTTGTGCCACAATAATAAATAAATAAATAAATTTGTTATTCTTTAAGTTGCTATAAGACTTTGTTTTTCTGTGAAAAGCAGTGCACTTGGTGCTCAAACATGTTCCTGTCAGGAGTCCCCGCCCCCCGCCCCGTTGTTAAGAGTTGTTTTCTGTGTTCGCAGTTCACCCTCTTTCCAGTTGTATTTTTCCACTGGTTTCTTTTATTGCTTAGGGTGGGTTGTCCTTGTGGCTGCTAGATCTCTATCACTGGTCTCTCTCCCCACCCACCTGTACTGTTAGTTCCCTGAGTCACTTCCTCCTCTCAGTCCTTCGCCTTCTATTCAATCCTCTCGCTGGAAAGCAGTTGCTGGAGTTGTTTGCAAATGGAGAAACTATGACTCACTTGCACCTGGATGGAAGCTGAAATGCTAGATGTTATTGCCAGGACCCAAGAGGGCTGGCTGATGTGTTGAGTCAATGCCGATGCCAGGCAGCTAAAGGGAGCTCCCCAGGAACTGGGCCGGCCCAAGGTTATTTATACACCAGGCTCCTTTTATTTCTTCTTGGGATTCTTCCAATTTCACAATCAGAGTGGTTTTCTTGTTCAGTTTACAACAGGGCCAGCACCTGTCTGGTTTAAAGCAGACTGAAGACTTGAGTGCTGCTCCCAACATTAATTTGCCATGCTAATTTACAGTGTAGGGGAAGGCATGAAAATTGCATTGCTTTCAGGTGTGGACCATTGCATACACGTGTATTTCCGCTGAGGCTGGAAAGTTGCAATTAGCTATGGCTTCCCACTGTATAGCAACCCAACAAAATCCGGTTGTGATCATGATACAAGCTATGCATGGGGAATCTGGTGGGGGATGGATGTCCAACAACATTTGGATGGCCATATATTTATATGGTTTGTTTTCTGTATACCCAATCAAGTTGGCCAGAGTAGTAAGACAATTTGTATACAGTTTAGCTGCACTATACGGAAAACAGTACTAGGCTTGAGCTTGGAACCTCAGCTGAGAACAGGTGGCTTTTAAAATGTCACTGCCTCTCAGCCTCAATTACCCACCTGTAAACTGACATTATAATTACTTGTCCTCAAAACTGACTTGAGGATGAGCCACATGGATGGTTATTCTTGGTATTGTCCATGTGATTTTCCTATGCTACCCCCCCCCCCCATTCTGTGAGTTGGGTCCAACCTCTCAGTTTATTGCACACTTTATTGCTCACTTTTTTGCAGCTCTTACTGCATATACCAAGGGGATGCTAGAAGTTGGGTCGTGCAACTATTTGTGTCTTGCACACACAACCGATAGCTTGTGATCAAGTAGTGTTGCCAGCCTGCAACCCAGATGCCATTCATCTACTTTCAAACCACCCGATGCAGTGAAGATTTAATTGGGAGCACCTTTCTTTTTTAGTCAATCATGATGTTTAATCAGTTAATCTAACCAATTCATTGATAATATGTAGTGCTCCATCTGTGATAGTAGCAATTTTACACAGTGAGGTTATCAACAGATAAAATACATTAGGCAAGTAATCTAAAGCTTGGGTGGGGAATGTGTGGTCCTCCAGATGTTTTTGGGATACGACTCCCATCATCCCTGACCACGGGACTTGGGAGTCCCAACAACATCTGGAAGTGGTTGCACAGGTTCCCCATCCCTGACCTAAAATGTCATGGATATTCAGAGCTCCACTATTATTCTGCACCATGAGATATTTCTTTTGATTCATCATCCCATCTCCTATGCATGTTTGCATCCTGGTTCATTTTGGCTTCTGTTTTACAATCAGACTGCTCACTGTTAATGTTAGAAGGGGGTAAGAAAGAGATCTAGTTATGAGTAAGTGTGACTTAAGCGGTGTCTAACGATGGCACCATGAACCCCAAATTGGTGGGGGACAAACACACCTGAACCTGCAGTCTGCTTTGAGTGGCAGTTGCATGGGAAAGCCATAGGCAGAAATCTTCCCCTGTTCTGCTAGCCGAGATCATTTTAACTGGAAAAGGACTTCCTGCATACAATGCCTGTACTCTACTGAAAAGCTGTAGCTCCTCCCTAAACCACCATTTTGCTATCAGTTCGTTTTCAGGTGTGCCTCTTGAACATTCCCCATGAATTAGTGTTGAGCCTGACAGTTGAGAATAATAACATGATGAATAATAAGAATACTTAGCATTTAGTGTTCAAAGCTCTTCATGTACATTGTTTCAGAAACTCTTTCAATGTTCCTGTAAGGTGGGTCATTGCTGCTTTTCCCCCTATTGAAGGAGGAAGACGAGGCCACTCGTGCAAGTTCATGTCAGAGGAAAGATTTGAACCAAGGACTGAGACTAATCTCATGCATCCTGTATTCTTAGCTACTGCACCAAGTGAATTCTATTGCGTCATTGAAAAACCAGCCACATAGCAGCAGCCCAAGGCAACTTTTCTACCTAGGGAAGGTCTACACAACTTTGTCACCCATCAAGCTGAATGCCACGACCAACCACCAATTACAGCATGCCAGAAGCGTGAGAACCTGTTTTGTAATCACTTGGAAACATCAGAAGGGGGGTGGGCAGACATGGCTGGGGTAGGTTGCATTCTGCTCTGTGTGTCAGAAGTTATGTGGGCCCACACTAAATAGATGTTATTACTGCTGCACCCCCTTTTTGAAGCCCATTTTTCTTTTCATTAGTCATTCCTCTGCTTCTTACCTTCCCAATATACACTGCATATTTGCAGTGTAAGAATGCAAAATTATATTTGTAGGCGAGGAAGAATGAACAACTCTGCTTATCAGTGCCTCCCCTAGGAATCTAATCCTGTTCAGGCATTTCTTCTTGAACCACAGTGCCTTACTGGCCCTTTCCCCCCAATAATGCACATCCTCCCAGTTGTAGACTCATTGAATTGCAGAGTTAGAAGGGACCTCGAGAGTCATCCAGCCCAACCCCTGCAATGTAGGGGTCTCAACTGGATCATACAAGACCAACTGCTTGCTTGAAAGGAATACAATTTTATGTTACAACTAAGACATTTGTTGTGTGTATGTGGTGTGCTGGAATCGGAGAGACTCTAAGCCTGCACAAATGCCTTGCCTGAAATAATTGCAGCCGAGGTCATGGCTAACTTGCGTAGTCAGGGTGAGTGAACCAAGAGCGTTAGCTGTAAAAGGCTGGAGAGTTAGTTGAAAAAAACAAAAAACGACAGTCCCTTTTCCTCACCCCTTTCTCCCTATGCTTCTCAATGCATTGACCATCCTGCAGGGAGAAGGCTTATTTCTAATTCTCCCCAAGTACAAGAAATGAGATAGGGAACCGCTGCGAGGTTTAGTCACTGAGCCAGACAGCCACATTCCTCCTTCATCATGTCAGCTGGCAGAGTCAATGCGGTGGATTGGCAACATACACACACACGCACACACACACACCGCTAGCTGCTGCTCTCCTGCTCCTCGGGGCCATCTTGCTGCAGCTCTTCTTCATCTGACTGCACCACAGGGGTCTCAGCCCCTTCCTCACTGGTGTCTAGGCTGTTCAGGTCTGTAGAGGCAGAGGATGTGGACGAGATCCGGGATTTGATCTCGGTCGAGTTGGGCACTTGCAGAGAAATTTCCTCCTCGTAACGGTTGGAATCTGGCCAAGGAGGAAGACAAAAAGAGAACAAGCGCTTGATGAGGCTGGCCAACATTTTGCTGCCCTCTGTACCGATGTGAAGCTGTTCCTGCAACATTTCTGGTCTCTTAAGCTATGCTGGCTCTCCCTATAGTAGAGCAGAAGAAAACCTAAGCTTTGCTGCTGTTTCCCACCGATGGTGGTGCCTCGCAAGACGAAATTAATCTGTTCCGCGAGTCTCTTCGTCTTGCGGTTTTTTCGTCTTGCGAAGCACAGCTATTAGCGGCTTAGCGGCTATTAACGGCTTAGCGGCTATTAACGGCTTAGCGGCTTTAAGGAAAAGGAAACAAACTCGCAAGAACTCGCAAGACGTTTCGTCTTGCGAAGCAAGCCCATAGGGAAATTCGTCTTGCGGAACGACTCAAAAAACGGAAAACCCTTTCGTCTAGCGAGTTTTTCGTCTTGCGAGGCATTCGTCTTGCGAGGTACCACTGTAGTTAGCAGATACATGCATGCCACATTATAATAGAAAATGCAAGTGTTTCAAGTTTTTTATAATGTCTGCAGCACCAAGGGCAGTATGATGCCACATGTCTATCCCCCCCCTGCTCCATTCCTAAATTTACTGCATGCAAGTTGCTGCAAGGGTATTGTCAGGCCCAGACAGAGGAGGGCCTCCGATTCCAAGGGGGCCTCAGTCAGCATATTCACAATCGCAGGGGATGCACTGGGGCAAACAGAGGCGCAAAGGAGGCGGTGGTGGTGGGCGGATTCCCTGGGGCCATGGCTGGCAGCGTGAGAGTAAAGCTTCCCTGGCGTCCGGGGCAGGGCCTGCGATCGGCTCCGCAGAGGAGCGCGGAACGGGGGCCAGGTAAAGAAAAGGGGGGGGCACATTATCTACCTGGCCCGGGCCTCTGCCTGGCTCTGCAAGGCCCTGGGTATTGTAAACACAACATCAACATATCAACACCTACGCTGATATTCTAGGTAACCAAGGGCAGGCATAGATAGGCAAACTCGGCCCTCCAGATGCTTTGGGACTACAACTCCCACCATCCCTTGCTAACAGGACCAGTGGTCAGGGATGATGGAAGTTGTAGTCCCAAAACATCTGGAGGGCCGAGTTTGCCTATGCCTGTCCTAGGGTAATGCCTCACATGCATAAGAGCATAGGAAGAGCCTGCTGGATCAGGCAAACAGCCCATTAGCCCAGCATCCTATGCTTGCAGTGGCCAACCAGATGTTTCTGGGAAACCTGCAAGCAGGACCTGAGCCTAAGAGCCCTTTCCCCTCCTGTAGTTTCCAGCAACTGGTATTCAGAAGCATTACTACCTCCAACTGTGTCATCATGGCTAGCAGACACTGAGAGCCTTATCCTCCATGAATTTGTCTAATCCTCTTTTAAAGCCATCCAAGTTGGTGGCCATCACTGCTTCTTGTGGGGGCAAATTCCATAACAGCGCATTAAAATGCATCCAGTTTCATATACACACAAGACTCACCCCTTCATCTCACAGACAGGCTACCCAAACACAAGGATCTTGAACGATTATTTCTTGCAGCCATTCTGCAAAGCCTAAAATGGGGCGGGACATGCTGGCTTCTTGCTGTCTGGATAAGCCTTTGTAGTGTCAGAGGAGTCAGACACAAGTTAAGACTCTCTGTGCATCTCACCATGCCTGACCTAATTTAAGGTATTCTAAAGATTAGCATCTCTGGGCATTTTCTGGCTGTTGCACACACACAGTTTCTTTTGAGACTGTAAACTGCAAAATGTAATCTGAGAAGGTGCCCAGAGAATGCCTTTCTATTTTGTTTAGTTTTGTTACTTTTAAAAATTGCCCAGTGCCTTGAGCAGCCATATTTCCCATTGCTGGAGCCTGTAAATTAATACAGCTGACTGCTGCCCACCAGTTTGACTCCGCTGTTTGCAATGAGGAGATTTCAGGTGTGGAATTGGCTGAAGTTCAAAATGGGCACTACATAATTGTTCTGGAGCAGCTGCAGGGACAGAGAGAAATGTGGCTACCTTTTGCATGCCGTTGAAATCGCCACACAAGCACAACCTTGTAGAGTGCAAAATCTAGCTCTACAGCAATCTCACTTTAAGAAGAAAGGAAACTTCTCCCTTCTCCCTTATGACTCTGGAGAAAGGCTTGCAAAACAAGAGAGGTATTTGGGTAAAATTTGAGGTTGCAGGGCACCCAGGGATCCAACATGAAATGCTCAGTAGCTCCCTTTTGCTCCACCAGTTCGCTCCAAGCTTTAGAAAACACGGGACAAAGCACCCTCTGGGGTGGGGTGGGAGCAGGGCCGTCTTAAGCATATCTGGTGCTGTGGTACACAGATCCCTCTGGCTCCCCCCCCCCATGGCAACTCCAAAACAAGGGAGGGGGCAATGGAAAATGTCCTCTTCCTCCCCCACCGCCCCGATCCCTGGCCTGGTGGCAGCTATCAAGCAGGAAAACGTGCTGGTGGACATGCTCTCTGGCATCAGAGTGCCCAAGAAGGCAGCCTGGGAAGGCTGCACGCCGCATTTCGCCAGGAAACAGGAGGAGGGCAATGACCAGGAGCAGGGCCATCTTTAGCAGATGCAGAGGCTTGGGAGGGAAGCTGTGCGCAGATTCCATCCTAAGCCTCTGCAGGGATCGCTCTCCTCCTGCAGAGGCTTGGGAAAGAAGCTGCATGCCCGCCAGCCATATAGTTGGCAGGGCGCAGCTGGCGGGCGTGCAGGGAAAGGGGAGGCTGCCGGCAAAGCCGCACAGCTCCCAAACTCGCTAGGGCACCCCTGAGAGGCTAGCGCCGTGGCGCAACAAACCACTAAGGCCAATGGGAAAGACGGCTCTGGGTGGGAGTAGCTCATAGCTGTCAACTTACACATTTGAAAATAAGGGACCAGCAGCCTCGAAAATATGGGATCAGCAGCCAAAATAAGGGATTTTCTGGGCACAGGTATGTTCAACTTCTGAGCCCTTCCGAGGCAAAAGCAGAAAGCCCAGCCAGCAGCCAAATGAAGCTCATCAATAAGGGACAGCAGCGGGACATGGCGCTGGGATAAGGGACTGTCCCGCCAAATAAGGGACGCTTGACAGCTATGGAGTAGCGACTTCTTCCAAAAGCTGCTGAGAGGTCAAGGGAAAGCAGCAGGGTTGCATTCCCCATCGCTTGTCTGACAGAGACCATCAATCTGGCTGCATAGGTGCCAAAACCAGGCCTGAAACCAAGAATAGATCCAGATAAAATGTTTCCAGGCATACCTGCAGCTGGCCAGCCCCCACACTCTCTGTCCCCTTGCCCCAGAAGGGAATATTAGAGACTGCAGGGTAGTTTTCTAAAAACTTACCAGAACATCGTAAAATGGGGACTCGCAGACACAGCTATCTGGCACAGCTATCAGCAGTGGGAGGGCCTTGTTGGGGCCATCAGCTCACAGCAGCTGCTGAAAGCTGGGCCTGTGCTCCCTTTGTGGTTCTTATGCTCCATGCCTGCTAATGCTCATAAAGTTTACAGGCCCCCTTCTTCCTTCTATTCCACCGCTCGTTGCCAAGACAACAAGACAACTATTTGACAACTTGTGTTTTCGGAAATTAGAATGAGTTATGCAATACAACATATGGGATTTTGCTTAATTTACATCTTCCCTTTTGCTGCCTCTGCACAGAACTTGGCAGCCCAGGCTGCCGTATGGTTCAATAACTCCCGATCCTGTTCAGAAACAGCCCCCCGTGCTTCTGCGCGAAAGTTACGTTGCGCGGATGGTATTATCTCCCCTGCTAATAAATCATTAGCCAAAGACACCGCTGAACATGCCGCGCAGCGTGTGACTCCATAACAGCGGGAGCAGGTTGACCCCGTAAACCCCTTCCGTCAAGAGCCTGGCCTGGCCAGATCTCCTCCGTGAATCCCTGGCCGTGTCATTGTACAAGCCACGTGCCTCGCATTCCTTCTCCATGTTTGGCAACGGGAGCTTTTGTGCATGGCTTGTGAATAACGTGGCTTGGAGACATCATCGGTGAGGCCGTTTAACTGGAATGCAGGAGGCTGTGCCGGTAAAGTACTTGAATCACACTCTGGCTGAATCACTGCATAATAGCCGGGTCTTGTCGCCTTCTCTTTGACCTCCTGCACAGGGCAAAGAGCCTTCCAGCCTGAGAGTGAACAGAGCGGGGATGCAGAGAGCTGTATTTTAAAAAATGCAATCAACATAAATTCAAATACTTTGGGAGATGGGTCAGTGATATTGTCCATTTAGGGACAACTGGCCCATGCTTGCAGAATAATAAAAAGTGATTAAATGGTGTGCCGGGCTTTGGTTGGTAGGTTGGTTTGGCAATTCGTTTCCCAAATTCTTTTAATTAGTTCGTTCAGTAGGAACAAGCAGCCTTCTGCTGGTGGTACTGCTTTTCCAGAAAAGGCATTAACCTTCACAAAGTGGGGTGTGTGGCCAGTCCTTCTGTGTCCTGTCCCCACACCTGAACATTTATTCCAAAGTTATGGTGCTACATTCATATTGCACTATGCAGTAAGATTAGCTGAGGTCACAGGGTGATGGGATAGATCAGTGGTAGGAAACATCGAGCCTGTGGGCCGTTTAAGCCTGCCAGACCTCCACATTTGACCCGTGGCATAGTTTGTCCCAAACCGCATCACCTAACATCATAGAACGTCAGGCGTGGGGCAGGCAAACCTCCTGGAAGCCCATTGCACAAACAGAAGTTCTTCCGCAGGGTTCTCTCTCCCTTGGACGGCGCTCATTAGCTCAGGGGTCAGCAACCTTTTTCAGCTGTGGGCTGGTCCACCGTCCCTCAGACCATATGGTGGGCTGGACTATATCTTTTTTTGGGGGGGGGATGAACATAGAAAAATTCCTATACCCCACAAATAACCCAGAGATGCATTTTAAATAAAAGCACACATTCTACTCATGTAAAAACACGCTGATTCATGGGCCGGATTGAGAAGGTGATTGGGTTGCATCCTGCCCATGGGCCTTAGGTTGCCTACCCCTGCATTAGCTGAAT